CCACTCTGGCCGCAGGTGGAGCTCTCTATGGGGCCACGAAACGTGTGAGGGGTGTGCCGAAACGGACGTGACGCCTACATGCGAGCGCTGCCATTGGGGCCTTAGGTGGAGCTCCCCATGAGGCCGCGAAGCGTCTGAGGGTGTGCCGAAACGGACACGTGGAGGGCAGAGGCAGGGATGGGAAGAGGACGCGCGGCCTCGCCTCTGCACACGGGGGTCCAGCAACACAGGACGGCTGGGAAGGCAGAAGAGCAGAGGGGCCCGCTAGGGGTTGGAGGGGCCGAGCTACCGTGCAAGCAGGTGTGGTGATTCAGAGGTGAGGGTGACCGAACGAGACCATGTACGTGATGCCATGAGCAACGGGGGAGGAATCCGAAAGGGAGGGGAACGCAACACGATACGCAATGCGGCTTGTATGAGGACCGCACACACACACACACGCGCGCACACACACCAGCCCCCAACACCAGGTACCACCTCAGGTCTCTGTCAGCAGGATGGTGGCAGGGATGCGCGCGGCGGGAGGAGAAGGAGCAGGAGGGAGGGGGGAGGAGGAGGAGGAGGAGGAGGAGGATGAGGAAAAGGAGGAGGAGGAGGAGAAGAAGAAGGAGGACCAGTGCAAACCCAAGACTCACCAACGATATTGCAATAAGCACTCCCTCAAACTTCCCCCTTCGTGGGTCCCTACAACGGTTTTGCAGAGGGAAGTGTCCGTCTGAGAATCCTGAATGAACCGCTCAAAAACCGAATTCCTAAGGAGGACTTCAACGCTGCGAATCAACGGTATGATTGCGTCCTGACGATCCTGCATCGTGCCAGAGCAAGATTCCAGGAACATCAATTGCACGAATCAACGTGATTATTGTGCCTGACAATCCTACATCGCGCCTAAATATTGTCTCTGGGACGTCAGCCACTGGAATCTTTGAAGCTGCTGTAAACTCTCAAGAAGAAAGTGCGCGGCGGCAGAGCCACACGTTGAGAAGGAGCCGCCCTCCATGCGTGAAGCCCTTGCGAACTTTCAAAACGAATTTGCGCCGCGCTGTGGCGAAAGCCACATCTTGAGAACGCCCCGCCCTCCACGCGTGAAACTGCTGCAAACTTTGAAGACGAATGTACGCGGCACACAGGCGAGAGCCACATTTTGACAAGGGGCCACCCTCCGCGCATGCACTTCCTGCAAGCTTTACAGTCGGGGCCCTGAAGAAGGAACCCTTTTGGTTGGGGAGGGGCTCCGCGTTCCTTAAGTGTTTCGCAGTTCGCCTTTGGTTTTGCTTAGGGTTTCGATTGGAAATCGAAGTTTAATGTATGGAAAAACGGGCCTCGTTCCTTATTTGGAGTTCCTTAGGTCAACGCCCCCACTGTACGACGGGTGTGCGCGGCGCCAAGGCGGGAGCTCCATTCTGGAAGCGGCCGGCCGTCCATCCGCGAAGCTCTTGCAAACGTTTAAGACCATTGGTGCGCGGCGCACAGGCGGGAGCCACAATTTCAAAACTACCCGCCACGCTTGAGATTCTTGCAAATTTTAAGACGAGCAAATGCGCGCTGCGCTAAGGGGAAAAGTACAGTTTGAAAACGACTCCCCTCCATTCGTGAAGCTGTTGCTGCACTTTTCAGCGTAAGGACCATCAAGGGTGAGGAAATCTCTGGCGAAACGCCCAGCCCTCCGTACCGACACGTCCCTGGATGCGACAGGGAAGAGTTATATGTAAGGAAAAGGGGTCGAGGAAGAGGAGGAAGAGGAGGAGGCGGAAAAGGAGGAGGAGGAGGAGACGGAGGAGACGGAGGAGGAGATGGAGGAGGAGCAGAAGCACACGGCCGCCTCCTGCCGAGTGGCCCCTCCCCCCCGCGCCCGCAGGCGGGCCCCCCTCGCCAATGGCGGTGCTCAAGGCCCGGCGGGTCGGCGGCGGCCCGCTGGTGGCGAGCCTCCGGCGGAGGCGGGTCCCTCCGGCGGCCTTTGGCGGCCCTCGGCAGCCTTCGGTGGGCCTCAGCGCTCCCGGCGGCCCTCGTCTGGCGGCCCTGGGCGGCTCTCAGCGGCGTCCGCGGCCCCTACGGTGCAGAGGCCTCCGCGGAGTGGCCTCACGGAGATCGTTCTTTTACGTATCCTCTGGCACGTGACGCCTCTGGCACGTAAGGTCGTTACCGGGCCAACCCCGCCCCACACCCCCTCCTGGATCATTAGCAGTAAGGATCGTACGTAGGGGGCTGGGCGTGCACCCCCCCACATGCTGGTGTTCGCGCGCATACTATGGCGATCGCAGGGCACCCCCGCCCCGACGTACCCCACCCCGCCCAAGCTTTACCGTTACCCGTTGCCAGAAATAGCTTTCTTCGCGAAGGTCCCAACCACATAGAAGCGCGAGTTCCACAGGGCAGGTACGACGAAGGATGGAATCTATCTATGTGGCCACGAAACGACTGAGGGGTGTGCTGACATGGGTTGGGGGACCGCCTGTGTCCCCACCCCCTTGGGGTCGGTGGAGCTCCCTGTGGGGCAACGAAACTCGTGAGGGGTGTGCTGACACGGGCTCCCCATGGGGGCTTCGGTGGAGCCCCCTGTGGGGCCACGAAAGGTGTGAGGGGTGTGCCGGCATGGTCTGGGGGACTGCGTGTGTCCCCACGCCTTGGGGGCTTAGGTGGAACTCCCCATGGTGCCATGACACGTGTGAGGGGTGTGCCGAAATGGGCTGGGGGACTGCATGTGTTCCCATCTCCTGGGGGCTTCGGAGGAATCCCCTGTGGGGCCACGAAGCTTGTGAGGGGTGTGCCGACAAGGTTGGGGGACCGCATGTGTCACTACCTCCTGGGGGCTTCGGTGGAGCTCCCTGTGGGACCACGAATCTCCTGGAATGTGTGCTGACATGGGATGGGGGACTGCATGTGTCCCCACGCCCTGCGGGCTTCGCTGGAGCTCCTCATGGTGCCCTGACAAGTGGGATGGGTGTGCCGAATTGGGCTGGAGTCCACATGTGTCCCCACGCCTTGGGGGCTTCGGTGGAGCTCCCTATAGGGCCACGAAGCGTGTGAGAGGTGTGCCGAACTAGATCATGGAGAGCAGAAGGCAGAGGCAGTGATGAGAGGAGGGAGGAGGGGGCAGCGGGAGGAAGGAGTAGGCGCGGGGCGCTGTCTCGTCAAAACGAGGACCCAACACCATAGCATGGTTAGGAATTAGAAAAAAACATTTTCTCGGCGGTCCTCCGTCTCCTCGCTCTTCCTGCTCCTACGCCTCCGCCTCCACCTCCGCCTCTACTTTCTCCTCCTCCTCCTCCACCTCATCCTCCTCCTTCTGCCTCTCGGTGGGGCTGCTGGAGGCGTGGCCTGCCATCATGGCGTTTCCGTCGTTTTTGAAAGTTGGCGTCTACGTCTTCGGCGGTGTGGGTGCCCTTGAGTTTGGGTGGGGGGGGGGTCGTCGACCTCGGCTGGGCGCAGCTCGAAACATCTGCCAGGATTGAACTTGGGAGTGGTCGGAAGATCCACTTTTGACGGAGACAGGTAGCGGAACGAACAAGGACATAAACATCAAAACTCGGAGGCCCGCGCGGACCTCCGGGTTTTCTATGTTTATGCCATTGCTCGTTCCCCTAACATTGGCGCTTCACCGATGTCAGATCACGGTAGCCCCGTGATTGCTCAGCTCGTTAGAATCATGATAAAAGGGGCTTTCACACATGAGATGTGCAGGGAATAGTCATGCAAATATGTTGTTGTCGTGGAAGTTTCAAGCGATCTGCTCATTCCTGGCTGCCTGGAGGTGGTCCGAAAGCACACTCGTGCTCGTGCGCCAACATCTAAGAGTTTGCTTTCGTTCGGGCCAGCCAGGGGGGAAGCAGCAACGAAAAGCGCACCTGGGAAAGATGCCGTCAGAGGGTTCCACTTCGGGCGACGAGACCTATACATATCCACTGCTCCCTGGCCAGGCCCATCCTGAACCCAGGAGCTGTGTATACGCCCTCCTGGCCAAGCCAGGAGGGCGTGGCGCTTACGCCGCTGCTGAGTTCAGGCTGGTCCTGGCCAGGGAGCAGTGCATATGTGTAGATCTCGCCGCCCGAAGCCACTGGACGTGGCCTGGAAGTACCTCCTTGTCGGCAGGTTCTCGCGGCGGGTCTTCCTGTCGCTCAGTCGGCTTCCCTCCTCTGCCCCGCGTCCCTCCTTCCGCCCGCTCCCCCCAGGTCGCTCTGGCTCGCTCTTCCCTGGGCGACCTGCCGCCTCTCAGACGGCCTCCCAGAAGGCGTAATGAAGCCCCCTCTGGCGCCTGCGAGCCGCAGGCCCTGACCCAGGCCGGAGGGGAACAGCCCCAAGAAACCTCAGCTGGCCGCGCCAGGCCGCCTTCCCTGGGCGTTCTCTCTCCATCCCCCGCTCTTCTCCCCTCTCCCCACGGCTCCCCGCTCCCTGCCTCCCTCACGCCTCTGTTCGCACCTCCGATGGGGTTCTCACAGGGCACTGGAAGCCTCCAGAGGCCCAGGCAGGGACAGAGACGCCAAGCACGTTCGACCACACTGCGGGGCGCGCACAAAGGGGCCAGGTGGTTTTCGTCAGGGCGCCTCGAGTTTCTTCGCTTCGCGCGCCGCGCGGTGTTCTCCCGCGGGCGTCACGACATTGCCGCATTGCACCTCGCGCGCGGGTTGTTGGGGCCGGGCTTCTGGCGAGGGCTTCCTGCGGCAGCGTCCGCACTGCATCCGACCCTCGCTCCTCGACAGCCTCGCCTCCTCTGCCGCCCTGGAGCTCCGCCCCGCTTCGGCCCGCCAGGCCTCAGCTCCTCCTGGAGCTGCTGCTCCGGAAGGCCTCCGGGAAGGCCGCAGCCGCGGCCCGGGGGCGCGCTCGGCTCCCCGCGGGCCTGGTGGCCGTGCGCTGCGCGGGGGAGCGCGCCGGACGGCCAGGAGCCTCGCAGGCGCGCCCTCCCAGAGAGAGGGGACTCCTCGGCGGCTCACAGCAGCCCAACGTCCTCGACGATCGCAGTGGCTCTTCGATTGGCGGCGAGCGGGGTGGGAAGCGAGAAGGAGAAGGCCTGCTCAGAAGGCGGCGGGGCTTCTCAGAAACCCTCGCGCCTTATGATAAGTTTCGTTTGTCTTCGGGAAAGGCTCAGGAAACTTCTCACAAGGCCGGGACTTCCGAGCCTTCTGAGATGGCCCGCCCCCTTCTCACTTCCCCCCGGGCTCGCCGCCGATTCGGCTCGTGCCGACACTTCTCTGCAGATAGCGAGCTGGTGTTTGGGTCCTGTCGCGTGTCGGCCTGTGTCCGAAACTGCTCCGGTGAGCAGCGCGCCCTCCCGCCCCTTCCCTCGGAGAGAAGACAACCTCCGGTGGCCGCGTACGAGCCCTACCCCCCGCCTCCCACGATCTCTGCGGGGGGTCGGGGTTCGCACTTCGCTCGGGAGCTCCCGAGCGGAGAGTGACCCCCCCCCCCCTCAGAAATCGTGGGGGGTGGGGGAACGGTTCGCATGTGGCCACCTAAATTTAGGATGTTCCAATCTACTTTAGCCTAAACCACCAGAAACCATTTCGAGTACCAAGAAAGTAACGAAACTGGAGGGTTTTTCACGTGTCGGGCCCTGGGAGGCGATACTCGTTCGACACTTTTTTTGACATTTTTCTTTGTGCTCGAAATTATTTCTTGGACATTGTCCTTAAATACGATGAGAGCAACACAAACCTAAACCTGCATGAACATAAACTTTTGAAGCTCCCCGCGGATTTCTCGGCGCTGGACCCCCCCCCTTCTGGCGGCACGGCCCATCGAGCGGTGCCCCCTTTGCGCTGCACCTCCGGTGGGTTAACACGCATGGGGGAAGGAGGAAGGAGGAAGGATTCCTCCTTCCTCCTTCCCCCCCTGCATGTTATCCTCCTTCCTCCTTCCTCTTTCCTCCTTCCCCTCTATTTGATTCAGGTGTCGGAAACAACTAAGCAACATTCATGCAGAACACATACCTTACCAAACGCAATGTTGGTTTCGGATATTCCGATTTAGCGCCTCCGAGTGGTCTTCAAAGAACGCACCGACTTTGAGTTGCGGGGGAGGGGGGGAGTGTTGCTTAATTTCTTCCCTCAACCGTTCCTCAGGAATCAAGGGAGAAACACCGGCACAAACCTAATCTTTCGGAGCTCCTCGCGTATTCCTTGAACCTGCTATGGGCCCCTTCTGGCGGCACCCCCCGCGATGTAGGGGGGAAGGAGGCAGGAGGAATCAAGGGAAAAAGACCAGCACAAACATAATCCTTCGGAGCTCCTCGCGGATTCCTTGAGCCTGCGCTGGACCCCCTCCGGCTCCGGCGGCACCCCCAGCGCCGCCCCCGACGCGCTCCGCGCGCCAGAAAGCGGGGGCCAGTCACCGAGCCAAGAGATCTGCGCGGAGCCCCGAGGTTTGTGTGCTTCTGGCATGTAGCCCTCTGTTCTCCCCTGGTGCACTCCCCTCCCACTTCAGAGGCAACGACAGGGTGGGATAGGCACTGTGGGGGACGCATCGACCCCCAATCGCCCATTGACCACCGACCGATAGGGGCCTGATAGCCCCAGCCTGCCCAGGAACTTGCGGATTCACGATCGGGGGCCTATCGCCGGTCCATCGGCGATGTATCGCCGATTCCAGGTCGATGCGTCCCCCCCCTTCTGCCCTTGGCATCGCTCGGACATGTGCATTTTTTCTGGCTAGAGGACCATCGCGGAGCATTTGAGGGCATCTTGCGGAAAGTACACTTGCGAGACCAGAAAACCAGAAAATGCACGGGTAGTGGACGTCCGAGCGATGGCAAGTGCCAGTCCCCCCCCCACACACTGCGGTGTTCGAAAAAAACGCCCACCTCTAATACGTGTTTAAGGGGGTCCAACCCCCTTGCCTAAATTCAGAGTTCGGGGTGGTCGCGGCTCCCGCCGACCTCGCCTCGTGGCCTTCGGGAGGCCCCTTCTCGTCGGCGCGACCAGGCCCGGCTCGCAGCAGCTGTGGCCACGGACCCGGAGGGCCCCCAGGGTTGGCCAGCCTCGTGCGGACGTCGGAGCGGGGGGGGGGGCAGCGACAGGAAGGGGGGAAGGCACCCCTATCTCTAACCCTTCGCCCGTTCTCCCCTTTTTTGTTCGCCCTCTCGGGAGGCCCTCGTCGCCACCGATGGATTCGCCTCGACACTCTGGTCAGAGCATGCCCCAGGAGAGGTCCGGGGAGTAGCGGTATCGGTACCTTTCGGTTTCCCACAAAAACGACGGGAGGGCACGTGCACCGACGATACTGACCGTGTACGGAAGTTTCGCGAAAAAGGATGCAGGCATCAACATGCGCATCATGAGTGTGCGGGCCAGGGCAGATTGAAGAATCCCCGTTAGGCGCACGGGGTCCTGTACAATGTCAGAAGTCACACCAATAGTATAATGGGGCAGAGCCGCTCGGGGGGGGGGACATTTTCAGCTCCCTTCGTATTGTTAATAATCGCCAAGCGGTGTAGAAACATAAAGACGTCACCGTGTAGTACTATTTCATACACGGGGGGCACCGCGCGCATTTTCAGGTCGACCTGCAAATCTTCAGGTGGAACCTGAGAATCATCATCCGGACCGTCTCGGGCATCGTTTTTTCCGGGGAAGGCCCGTTCAGGTCGACTTGAAAATTTTGAGGCCTAAGCAGCGCCACGCGGTGTAGACCTGGAAACGTCACCAGAGTGTACCAGATCATACACGGGGGAGTACCTGAGCAGTTTGATGTCGACCTGAAAACATTCAGGTTGGACAGAGAAATCATGTTCCTGAGCTATGTCTCCTTTGCTTTTCGCTGGGGGAACCAATTGGGACCCAGGCTCAGGCGTCGGCTGTCCGAGCAGATGCGACTGGTCGAGAGTTGGTTCGCAGGCGCGAATGCGTCCAAGTAGATTGTGTCTGATGCGTGAATATGGTGCCTGGATGGCAGCCATAACTAAACCATGTCAGTCGAGGCATTCGACCGAAGCAATGGCCTCGATGCGACATTTTGGCTCAAACAGATACTCCAGATATATCACGTCAGGTTTTTGACGATCAGATGTTTTCAATCAGACATTGCGCCGCAAGCTCGCCCATGTGACTCCATCATGACACAGGGACTTGCAATGAGAAGACTTGCCGCTGTGGTACGACCTGTACTGCACGCCAAGACATTGTGCGAGGCATCCACGGCATTGGGCTGGAGCTGTGTCATCCTTTGCGGTGCACCTCAGGGATCAGTGGATAGGACTGCTGTCCATGTGCGTAAATCGACAATTTCTGGAGCAAAGCTGGGAGTGTTTGCAACGCGACCGATCAGTGCAGGTGAGATTGTTGGAAGATATCCTGGTTATTTGCACCCGGCTTCTGTGTGGTGGTCGACTAAGGGTCGCACCCACGCAGGAGATTTTGCATGTGTTTACGCATGGTTTCTGGCAACTGGTAACGTTCTGGATCCCACGAATGAGGAGGGACATCTGCTAGATGAACTAGTAGGTTTTAGAGGATTGAGGAGGGTGCCCACAGTGATCAGTCGACTTAACGAGCCTCCACGTGGCGTGGAGCCAAATCTGCATGCAGCAGAAAAGGGCAACACTGTTTCTTTTGCTGCGCGCATTGGGATCAATGCCGGTGACGAGCTGTTTGTATATTACGGGCCGAACTACGACCGTTCCCTCTATCAGCAGGGCACAAGTCCAGAATGATGGGTCAGGGCATTCGCGCAGCATGGTCGCACAGGGGCCGTGTCATGCCCGCTGCTCCTGTCACCGAGCGCGTTCCGCTACTCGCAAAGTGTCTAGATGTCATAGATCGGAGATCCCACATGTCATAGATCGTAGATCCCCCGCGGCGGATCCTCGCCAGTTGCGTCGAGTTACTTCGCGAGTAGTGGAACGCGCTTGCCTCTCCTGGGACCTCGGGCTGGCGCGTGCTCGCGGCGTTCCCTGAGGCGCCGCGCTCCGCCCCGCGCGCAGAGGCGCGCGCGCGCGGGAGAGCAGGACCAGCCGCGGGCGGCCCTCGGAGGGGCGAGCGTGGGGGCCGCGGAGGCTGGAGAGCCTTTAATCGATCCTCATCCCCACCTCGAAGGCTGGTCCGACCTCGCAGGTGGGGACCACGAGCGTGTGCTCAGTATCGTTTGGGCGATCCCCGTCCCCACCTCGAAGAAGGAAAAAACGCCTTAAACATAAACTGTTGACGCTCCGCGCGGGTTTCTTGGATCCGCGCTGGGCCCCCCCCCCTGGCGGCGCCTCTGGCGCCGCTCCTGGCGCGTTCCGCGCGCGAGCGAGGGGGCTACAGCGCAGAGCCAAGAAATCCGCGCGGAGCGCCAAAAGTTTATGCTCCTGCCGTTTTATCTGCCCCCGTTAAGATCTGGCCGAGATCGGCGCGTTCCCTCGGAGAACACCGACCACGGCATCCCCAGTCCTGGTGGGCAGCAGCCGGCTGCTGCGGTCGGGCGCCCAGGTGCGAGGAGTCGTGTCGGGTCTCCATTTCGCGGCGGTCTCTCACAGGGTTTGTGAACGAGTTCTGTGTGGGGGTACCGTCTTCTCAGCTCAGAGGGCGCACTGAATAAAGGCACTGTGATTTCCAGGTCGCTTCTATGATTCTGCCAATGCGCGGTATTGCATGGTAGACGATTTCCAGGCAGCATCGCCTCTTGGCCGCACCAGCATTTTTGAATAGTGCGACCGATCCAGCTGCCCGCGGCAAGTTCCGCTACCGTGTCAGCGCAATACTCTGTGATGCGTTTCTTCAATTTCCTCCCAGAGGGTCGTAACATGTGACACCTTTTTATTCCTTGAGGGGCTCCCACGCATGGAGCCCACCCGGGTCGTCTTAGGGCGGTCTTGGGTTCACGTGTGGCCGTCTTGCATCCCCAGGACGATTCGTTTTTCTTCTTGGGCCCGGAACAATGGTGTAAAGTCTTGAGAGGACGCGTATGGGAGAACCGCCGTCGGATCCAGTGGAGTTCGCGCAAATCCAATTTCGGTAGTGGTTTATGTTTCGGTGGATCCGACTTACGTCCGCGCGGATCCGATTTCAGATGTTATGGATCCACGCCCGGCCTTGTTGTTTTACGGCGGATCCGATTTCAGCCCCGTCTTGAATGTATAGATTTGAATTGAAACGGGGAGCCGGGAGAAATCGGATGCGCGAATCTCGGACCTGCCCATGTTAAGATTCTATTGGGGAAGGGGGGTCGGTCATTAATTTCCCAGGATGGGTCCTGCGCTGTCTCGCGCAATCCCATAAAATTTCCGCGCGCGCGGGCCCCACTTAACATGAGTGCATATCCCTCCTCCCAGTTGCTGCGCGCAGCTCGTCCAGACGCCGTCCGCTCGGCGGCGCCGATGTTATCATGCGAACTCTTCATCGCCGTTCTCACATCAAGAGGAACATCTTTCATCCTGCGTAAGTGGGTTTCGGCCCTGCGTTTCCTGACCCAACGGACTGCCTGTGCGCTCTCTTACTCGATGGCGCGGCGCCTCGCGCTCGGCGCGGGCTCCATCGTCGCGCATCCTGACCGCCGCCCATCAGGATCACCCGCCAGGACGTCTCGAACGGGAATTTCTGATTGCACGCGGCGGTGGTATTATGGTGAGATGCGCTGTGTCGGCTATGTGGTAGCCATCATATCCAAAATGCCAAAACACCGATCCCCAGGACGAGAGTTGTTTCCTCTTTTGCACGGGACGACGGTTTAAAGTCTTGATCAGACGCGTATGAAATAACCGCCGTCGGATCCAATGAAGTTCGCGCGGGTCCAATTTTGGTATTGGTTCGTGTTTTGGTGGATCCGACTTCCGTCCGCGCGGATCCGATTTCAGATGTTCTGAATCCGCGCCCGTTCTTGTTGTTCTCCGGTGGATCCGATTTCAACCCCGTCTTGAGCTTATACTTTTGAGTTAAAACAGGGAATGGGGAGAAAGCGGATCCGCGGACCCTGGAGCCCGCTCGTTTTAATATTGTAGTGGCCTCCGGCCAGTGCCGCCGATCCGGGGCGCTCTGGATGATGATGATGATGATGATGATGATGATGATGATGATGATGATGATGATGATGATGATGATGATGATGATGATGATGGTGATGTGACGATGGTGATGGTGATGGTGATGGAGATGGTGATGATCCCGGCCCCCCCCCAACCCCCCTCCTCTCTCCTGTTCCCCCCCCCTTCTCCTGTCCCTTCCCCCCCCCCCTCTCTCCTTTCCCCTTCCCCTCCCCCCTCTCTCCTGTCTCCCCCCGTTGTCTAGTGGGTCAGGGGCTTCTTGGATACGTTATTTGAGGGACTCGTGGGATGCCTCTCAGGGGCCTCTTGGAGAGCTCCTGGGGCCTTTTGGGGGGTCTCCTGGGGCTTCGTGGGGGCCTCCTGGGGGATTCTTGGGGACCCCTCGGGAGCCTATTGGGGCCTCTTGTAGGCGCTTCGAGTGCGTCGGGGGAGATCTTGGGGCCATCTTGGAGAAAGGCTCGAAATATCAGTTCGTGTCCCCCTTCTTGGGCCCCTCTTAGGGCCCTCTTGAGGCTCTCTTTGGCCGTCTAGGGGTCCCTGCGGTCGTCTTGGGGCCCTCTTGGGCTGTCTTGGGACCCCCTTGGATGATTCATGGGCCTGTTGGGACGATCTTGGGGCCCCTTGGGCCGTCTTGGACACTGGCAAGCCGAAAAAGGTGATTATGCTAAACATGCACGTTTTTTTGAGAGCGGAACGATTTTTGCCTCTTGGGGCCCTCTCGGCGATCCTCTGGGAGCATTCTTGGGCCGTCTTGGAGGCGCGTGGGCCGTCTCGGAGCCATCTTGGATCGTCTTGGGCCGACCCTGGGCTGCCTCGACGCTCTCGTGGGCTGTGTTGGCGGTCTGTTTGGGCTCTCTTGGGCCATCTTGAGGCTCTGTGGAGGCTCCGGAAGCCTGGGGTGGTGCGTTGAGGAGACCGTCTACCCACCCCACCCACCCCCCGGGGTCCTCTCTGACCCCCCTTGTGAAATCCGATTTGGGACCCCTGGGGACGGGGAAAGGGGAAGAGGGACAGCCAAATGTCTCACACGTTTCACTCCTGGCAAGCGGGGACCGGCGGATTATATTGCGAAGGCCTTACGGCCGTTGCCGCCGACCCTGAAGATGACGAAAGACAACACGAGGGGGGGGGCAGGAGGAGGAGGAGGAGTAGGCGGAAGGGAGTAGGAGGAGGAAGGGTGAAGGGGGAGGAGGAGGAGGCCTTATGGATGTTGGTTGGGATCTCGTGGTTGACCTCTCGGGGGCGTCTGGAAGGCAACTTGAAGCCTCTTGGGGGCCGTTGTGGGGCCTCTTGGGGCCTCTTTTGGGCCTCTTGGGGCTTCCGGAGGCCGTCTTCGGCGCATCTTGGGGGCGTCTTGGCGCCGCTCGGGGGCCTCTTGGGGCCTGGGGGCCTCTTGGGGCTTCCCGGGGGCCTCTTATGGCGGAAGTCTCGAATTCTCGGTTCCTCGTCCCCCTCTTGGCCCGTCTTGGGCGCCTCTTAGGCTGTCCTGGGGCCTTCTTGGGCCGTCCTGGGGCCCTCTTGTAGGCCTCTTGGGGCGCTCTTGGGGGCCTCTTGGGGGCCTCTTGGGCCGTCTTAAGCCGAAAAGGCGAGAAGGCCAAAATCATTCAAAAACCGATGTAAAATTGACGATTTTGGCGCCTGGGGCCCTCTTGGGTGTGCTCTTGGGGCTCTCTTGGAGCGTCTTGAGGGCCTCTTGGGCCGTCTTCGGGCCGTCTTGGGCGTCTTGGGGCCATCGTTCGTCGAGTCGAGGCCCTCTTGTACCCTTTTGGGGGTGTCTTCTGTCGCTCTTGGCTCGTCTTGAAGCTTTTCTGAGCTCCGGGACCCCCCGGGGAGGATGCGTATCTGGGTGGCGACCCCCCCCGGCGACCCCCCCCCCCCCCCCCGGCGGGGAGGGTAGGGAGGGGCTTCGCCACGACTCAACTACGACGTTGCTCAATGTCGCTTTGGCTCGCGCGCTCAAGGAGACGGGGAACGACGAAGACGACGAGGGACAACGGAGACGGAGACGACGAGGACACGACGGAGACGACGACGACGACGACGACGACGGTGATCCACGCAAGACGACGACACCGGGATGCGTCCTGGCAAGCGGGGACCGGCGGATTATATTCTAAGCCTTAGGCGGGGTAATTAATCATACTTGCGTGAAAAAAAGCACCACCGAAACCAGATCCCGAAAAAATGATTTACGAATCAAAATGGCAGATGCAAGATGCGACCCGACGTAAATCGGAACCGAAATCAGATCCGCGCATTTTTCAATTCAGATCCGCATCAATTTTACACATGCATTTGGACGGCATTGTTGCGTGTCTTTGCGATGTCCGTTACAGGCCCGCTAGAAGGAAAACAGGGACGTAGCGTTTTGTATGGGGTAGCGTAGCGAGGCCTGGGTGGTAAGAGCCGGATTAGGCAGAAGGAGGAGCAGCAGCAGAAAGAGCAGAATGGAGAAGGAACATGGGGGAGGAGAGAGCGAGCTTTGGCAGATCGACGCCGCTTAAGAGGAACTTGCAGGCAGCATTGTTGGCCGCCCCTCCCTGAGCCCATTTCGTCTCTTACTTGGAGTTTAAAGATGTGTGTTTCGGCCGTCTTATCGCCCAGCGGTAATGGACGGCAGCGAAGCCAATAGGAGCCAGTAGGGAGGAAGGAGGAGGGGGAGGTCAGGTAGGATGAGGTGAAGTGGGATGAGGAGCAGGAGGATGTGGGAGGAGGAGGAGCAGGAGCAGGAGAAGTAGAAGGAGAAGGAGCAGGAAGAGGGATAGAAGGAAGAGGAGGATGGGGAGGAGCTGGAGGAGGAGCTGCAATAAGAGGAGGAAGAGGATTAGGAGGAGCTGGAGGCAAGAGGATTGGGGAAGAAGGGTAGAAGGAAGAGGCGGAGGAGGAGGGGGAGAAGGAAGAAGAGGATGGGGAGGAGCTGGAGGAAGAGCTGCATGAGAAGGGGAAGGAGCTGGAGCAGGAGCAAGAGCATGAGGAGCTGGAGGAGGACGGTTGGAGCAGGAGAAGGACAAGGAGGAGGAGGAGGAGGAAGAAGAAGGTGAGGTGACAGCTGTAGCAGGGCGAGGGAGGACGGTTGGAGCAGGAGAAGGACAAGGAGGAGGAGGAGGAGGAGGAAGAAGAAGGTGAGGTGACAGCTGTAGCAGGGCGAGGGGGGAGAGGGCGGGCAGGGAGGGAAAGAGGGAGAAGCAAGCAGGAAGGGGGAGGGCAGCAGGGAGAGGCATGCTGAGGGAGGAACGGAGGTGGAGGGCAGGTAGCCGGGAGGGAGGGAAGGAGGCAGGAGAGGAAGCAGGGAGGCAGACAGGGGTAGGAGGAAGGGAGTCCGGGGAAGCCAAACGTACCCCCGAACAGACGTACCCTGGACTGGGGGCCTCGGGGCCCACCTCGGGGCGCCCAACAGCTGCGTGTTGGCGCCCACCGTGGCTGGCATCGCGGATGCTGCGGCACCGCGCTGGAGCTACGTCGTCTTGGGTACGCTCCTGAGGAGGAGGAGGAGGAGGTTTCTGGCCTTCTCACCCCCTCCTGGGCCCCCAGAGGCGCTGAAGGTGATCACGCCGGCGCGCGGCAAGCCCGTGACGAGGGCGATGCAGCGTCAGATCGCAGGCACTCCTGGGGGGAACTCACACTGTACAGTGGAGACTGTACAGTGGTTTCTTGGGTTTCGATGGTTTTGCCATGGAAAGCGTGACGTTCCCACACCAAAAATCGATGGACGTCCTGGGGTCTCAGGGTTGGGTTTCTCGTGGAAGGTTTCTTGTGGAAGGGCCCCTAGTGTACAGCAAGGACGCAGTTTGGAGCCGTCTGAGGTGCTGAGGTGGCCCAGCACTTTTTCTGGCCAGCTTGAAGGGCGGGCAGGTTCAAGATCCTGGTGTCGGAAAGAGCGTGTTCTACCGCTGCTGACGGAAAACCAGGGCGGAGTCACTACCGGTTCGAACCCCCCCCCCGGCCCCCCGCCTTCCGGAAAACCAGGGGGGGGTCACTACCGGGGTTCGAACCGTTCCCCCCCCCCCAGGGTCCATCATGAACAGGGGGGGGGGGTCACTACCGATTCGAACCCCCCCCCCCCTCCCCTCCGGAAAACCGGGGGGGTCACTACCGGTTCGACCCCCCCCCCCTCGAAAACCGGGGGGGGGGGTCATTACTGGTTCGAACCCCCCCTTTTCGCCGCCTGGCCGGGGAGAGTGGGGACATTGACTCACTGCTGCGGGCACTGGTGGGGGGGACAGCGGGGACAATGGTGGGAACAGTGGGGACAGTGGGACAGTGGTGGGGACGGTGGTGGACAATGGTGGGAACAGTGGGGACAGTGGGACAGTGGTGGGGTCGGTGGTGGTGGGGACGGTGGTGTGGGTACAGTGGGAATGTGGTGGAAACAGTGGGACAGTGGAGGGTACAGTGGTGGTGGGGACAGTGGTGAGGGCGGTGGCGAGGACGGCGGTGGGACAATGGGACAGAGGTACGGGGGGGACAGTGGTGGGGACAGTGGGGACAGTGGTGGGAACAGTGGGACAGCTCAGTGGGACAGCGGAGGAGACAGTGGGACAGTGGGGACAGTGGGGACAGTCGGGCGGTGGTTGGGGCCGTGGAGAAAGTGGGGGAGAGTGGAACCGTGGTGGGAGCAGTGGTGAGGACAGTGGGGACAGTGCGACAGTGGTGGGGGCACTGGTGCGGACGGTAGGGACGGTGGTGGAACCAGTGGGAACAGTGGTAGTGAAGACAGTGGTGCTGGGGACAGCAGTGGGGGATGTGGTGCGGACGGTGGTAGGGACCGGGAGTCGTTTGCTGGCGGTGAGCGCGGGGGGGGGGGACGAACCGGTAGTGACCCCCCCCCGATTTTCGAAAGGGGGGCGGGGTCGAACAGGTAGTGACCCCCCCCCGGCTTTCGAGGGGGGGGGTGGTTCGAGCCGGTAGTGACCCCCCCCCTCGTTTTCCGCAGGGGGGGTGAGGGGGGGGGTTCGAACCGGTAGTGACCATGGTCCCCCCGGTTTTCCGGAGGAGAGGGGGGGGGGGGGTTCGAACCGGTAGTGACCCCCCTCGGTTTTCCGGAGGGGGGGGAGGGGGGGTTAGGGGAGGGTGGGGGTTTTGCCGGGGGAAGGGGGGGGGGGACAGTGGGACAGTGGTGAGGACGGTGGTGTGGGGACAGTGGGAATGTGGTGGAAACAGTGGGACAGTGAGTGGAGGGTACAGTGGTGGTGGGGACAGTGGTGAGGGCGGTGGCGAGGACGGCGGTGGGACAATGGGACAGAGGTACAGTGGGGACAGTGGTGGGAACAGTGGGACAGCTCAGTGGGACAGCGGAGGAGACAGTGGGACAGTGGGGACAGTGGGGACAGTCGGGCAGTGGTTGGGGCCGTGGAGAAAGTGGGGGAGAGTGGAACCGTGGTGGGAACAGTCAGTGGTGAGGACAGTGGGGACAGTGCGACAGTGGTGGGGGCACTGGTGGGGACAGTAGGGACGGTGGTGGAACCAGTGGGAACAGTGGTGGTGAGGACAGTGGTGCTGGGGACAGCAGGGGGGGGGTTGGTGCGGACGGTGGTAGGGACCGGGAGTCGTTTGCTGGCGGTGAGCGTGGGGGAAGGGAAGGGGTTCGAACCGGTAGTGACCCCCCCCCCGGTTTTCGAGGGGGGGGGGTTCAAACCGGTAGTGACCCCCCCCCCGTTTTTGAGGGGGGGGCTCGAACCGGTAGTGACCCCCCCCCCGGTTTTCCGGAGCGGAAGGGGGGGGCGGTTTGAACCGGTAGTGACCACCCCCCGGTTTTCCGGAGGAGAGGGCGGAGGGGGGGTTCGAACCGGTAGTGACCCTTCTCGATTTTCCGGAGGGGGGGGGGGGGGGTAGGGGAGGGGGGGGGTTCTGCCGGGGGAATAGGGGGAGTCCAGCGGGGGGGGGGGGAATTTCGGAGCGGGGGGGGGGTGGGCGAGAGGAAGAGGGGGGGAAACAGAGGAAGAGGGGGGGAAATTTTCCACAGTAGAGCGGCGGTGGATCAGGCTCTCTCTGGTGTCGGAATGTTTTATTTATATATATATACACACAGATAGATAGGTAGGTAGGTAGGTAGGTAGGTAGATAGATAGATAGATAGATAGCTAGATAGATGCGGCCTCCAGGTGCCGTCTTCGACCCACGTGACCGTCAGAAACGGATCTTGGGTTAAAATCTGCTCCAGACCGACCATGGGAGGGGTCCTAGGATTGTTTTCGAGCGGATTTGGTTTCAGCCCCCCTCCTGACAGACTTTGGCAAGCCACTGCGTCCTTGCTTGTTCGGCCCCATTCTTGAGATGTTGGCCCGATGGCGCCGCGCGCACGTCCAAGGATCTTGCATCATTACCCTGCATCTTTACTGTGGTTTGTGCCAGTGTGTCGAGATGATCCCTCCTCCTTAGCCATGGCAGGGTCGCGCTGCGTCGACGCGCGGCGACCCTAGCGCGAGCGTTCACAGTTGAACGCCGCCAGCGGCCAGAACCGTCCAGTATCGAAGGATCCCTGCTATTGGAAAGCCGTGATCGGGCAAGGTCGAACGAGCCACGCGGTGTCAGAAACCAACGCCGTCGTCGTCTCGACACGAACCTACCGTACGTTGTCGCTTCAATGCATTTGAAGTTGCTCCTACAGGCAAGGCGGCGCCGGTTGGGATCAAGCCGGTGACCTGGGCTACCTTGATTCGGAGGAATCGGGTGTGGGCCTAAGACGCCCACTGTATTCTTTTCTTCCCCTCCCGTCATCCCATAGACCTTCCCGGCCTTCCTTCGGCGCATACGCCAAGCCTTTTCGATCCATCTGCCGTGCCCTCCTCTCCCTCTTGCCCTCTACCATTTCCTCGTCATGTGTATCTCATCCGCCTCCTCGCCTTAACCTCTTTCATTATAAACAACTCTTTCGTGTCGCACCCCATGGCGAGTCGGCAGGGCGGGCTGGGCGTTTCGCCGGAGATTTCCTTTCCATTTCTGTTACTTAAGTTTGATTTAACTATGTTGTGCAATAGCTACACGGATGGAGGGCAGGTGGTTTTCAAAATGACGTTCCCGCTTCAGAGCCGCACACATTTGTTTCAGAATTTTGCAACATCTGCACTGATGGAGGGCGGGGCGGTTTTCAAAATATGGCTCTCGCCTTATTGCTGCGCACCCCCGTCTCAAAACTTGCATGGGAGGGACAAAATGGTGTTCCAGTCCGAGCTCGGCGCACATTCGTTTTCAAAGCTTGCAACAGTTACGTACACGGATGGAGGAGGATTCGTTTCAAAATGTGGTTTTCGCGAGAAGTTTGCAGCTGCACGGATGGAGGGCGGTTCCTTTTCAACACGGGGTTCTCGCTTTAGCGCCGCTCGTTTTCAAAACTCGCGACATGTTTTCGGATGGACGGCGGTTCCTTTGCGAAACCAGGTTTTCGCTCTAGCGCAACGCACATTCGTGCTAAAGGCTTACAGATGTTTCATGGATGGGCGGCGGTTCCTTTTCAAGATAATTAGGGCTCTCGCTTGGGACATCCTTAAAATCTGGAGGACCATAAAAGGAGGAACATGTGTAACAACTGCACAGATGGAGGGCGTTTTTTTCTTCAAAGTGGAGGCTCTCATTTAAGACTTCCTCGAAGCTCATGGCCAGATGTGTAAGTTTGTGCAACAGTTACGCAGATGGGGGCGGTTCCATTTCGAAATGGCAATGTCATTGGACACCTCGTCGAGCTGCATTAGTTGCCAGAAGGGTGCAAATCAGGCCATGTTGCAAAACGGTGCTCTCGCCTGCATGGCAGGTCCGTGGGGAGCTGGTCGTTCAATGGAGCGCTCCTTGTAGTGAGAGGGAAGTCTTGTACGCACTCTTGAGGAGGGGCTTGGGTCGGGAGGGTGTATTTCAGGAGGGACAAAGACACACAGACACAAATGATCGTCGATCCCCCAGAAAACATGGAAAGCTATGGAAAGTGGGGGGTGGGACGAACATCCAGAAACTACGGGAAAGAAATTGGGAATCTTGGGATATGTGTCTATTTGCCTGTGTGTCCCTAGGCTCCCTCCGTATTGCAGCATCGCTGATTCATATTTGATATGTTGTGGTCTTGCTCCTCCTCTCCTGCTCGTCTTCCTCCCTGCTCCTCCTGCTCCTCATCCTGGTCCTATTCTCTTCTGCTGCTCCCCCCCCAGGGGGGGGGGGCACGAGGGAGGATAGGAAGCGGGGCTCTCTCGAGGTCCACAGTCCAGGGAGGTTGCCGGAGGCTTTTGGAGGACCTCAAGGATCCAAAAATGTTTCCAAACAAAGCATCACCAACTCAACTCAGTCATCCCAAATCGATTGACATCAGCTTGGCGAAGAGGCCAACCCTTTTCCCAACGCGAGGCGACGACAAACAGAACTGCTCAACGCAAGAGGACACATGAAGGATTGTGCCGAATGGGCGCTGCGGCGCCATGTGGACGCACCCACTGGCCCCGGGTAGAGCTCCCTGGGGGGCAGAGGACGCGTGAGGGGTGTGCCGAAATCGGCGCGGCGGCGCCGTGCGAACGCGCCCGATACGGTCCTAGGTAGAGCTCCCTGGGAGGGGTGGGGTCAGGACATGTGCTAACAGTAAGCCGAAATGAGCGCGGAGGCGCCATGCGACCGCACCCGATGGGGCCCTTGGAAGAGCTCCCTGGGGAGGGCAGGAAACGCGTGATGAGGTGTTTTGAACTCGGCACGGCGGCGGCATGCGAACGCACCAAGTGAGACCCTAGGGGGAGCCCCATGCGGGGGAAGGGAACGCGTGAGAGGTTTGTCGAGAAGGGTGCGGCGGCGCCATGCGAACACAACCAGCGGGGCCCATGCGGAGCTCCTTGCGGGCACGCTCTCAGTGAGGGACGTGCCGAGATGGGCGCGGCGGCGCCATGCGAACGCACCCACTGAGTCCTTAGGTGGAGCTCCCTGGGGGGGGGGGGAACGCGTGAGGGATGTGCCGAAATGGCCGCGGCGGCGCCATGCGAACGCACCCGCTGAGGCCCCAGGTGGAGCTCCCTGAGAGTGACAGCACACGCGTGAGGGGTGCGCCGAAATGGGCGCGGCGGCGCCATGCGAACGCATCCACTTGGTTCCTAGGTGGAGCCCCTTAGGGGCCACGAAACGTGTGAGGGGTGTTCGACATGCAGAGAGAGGATAAGGGAAAAAGGGAGGAGAAGGGGAGGAGAAGGGGAGGAGAAGGGGAGGAGAAGGGGAGGAGGAGGAGGAGGAGGAGGAGGAGGAGAAGGAGGGAGACGCACGCCGCTGCGGATTCAAAAAGAGGACCGAACATACATGAGGGTTGGGGCAAATCGCCTGTCCCCCCATCTCCCTCCCTCGTCGCCTTCTCCTCCTCCCTGGCACGACCTGCTCCCCGGGCTGCGTGGAAGATCACGCCCTGGCGCTGGAGCCTAGAGAGGCACGCCAATCGACCCCACGCAGAGGGCCGTCCTTCCTGCTCGTGCAGGGGAGGGGGGGGGGAGGGGTGGTGGTCCGAGGCTCGAGGGCCAAGTACCTTCCCCAGAGAGTGCTTGCACTTGGGGATCCTTATTTTGTTGTGCTGAGGAGTCGCGTGGGCACTACGAAGATTTGTTGGGCGGCCGCCCGCCGCCACCCCGTGGCTGCACGTGTCCGCCCGTGGTTGCCCCGTGGCCGCCCCGCGGCCGCCCGACGTAGCTTACATCACATACGTGATCGTGTTTTTACTCTTTGTTTTGCCGATCGGCGCGGGCCCTCAGCACCCCCCCCCCGCTCTCCCCTCTCCCCCCCCCATATGGAGCAGATCCTGGCTGTTTTGGGCGCCTTTCTCGAGCAGGTGGAGCTTCTCCCCCATGGGACGCACCTCTGCAAACAGCCGCACTGAGCAGAGGCCCAGAGCCAGACCTCCCCCCCCTCCCCCCCCCCTTTCCGCCCAGTGTCGAAACGCCGAATAAGAAAACGCTCACTATCTTGCACCACATGGCGTACACCGCATCGCGTGCACCCCGTAGACTGCGCCACGGAACTTGCACCACGTAGCTTGCGCCATACAACTTGCGCCTCCTAGCTTGCACCACGTCTCCTGCACCACGTGGCCGCCTCGTGGCCACCTCGTGCGCTGGGTGTCCGGCGAGGGCTCGCCATGTTGCCGCGTCGTGGCCGCCTCGTCCGCCCGTGGCCGCTTCGTGGCCGCCGCGTGCGCTGGGTGGGTCCAGCGAGATTTCGTCGCCACATTTTCGCCAGTGGCCGCCTAGTGATTCACGCAGCATAGATAACCCCACATAGTTTACACAGCATAGCTTGTACCACGTAGCTTACACAGCAACATTGCCACCTCCATAGCTCACACCACATAGCTTACACGGCGTACCCTTCATCGCATAGTTTACACCGCATAGCTTTCGTCTCCACAGTGCAATAACGCCCCGTTGCTGCGATGTTGCCGTCCGTTGCTGCCTCGTTGCCCCCTCGTTGCCGCCTCGTGCGTTGTGTGGCTCTCTCGAGGACTTGCCACGTTACCTACAGATGCTGCCACGTGGCCGCGACAAATGCGAGGGATAAGGGGGAGGGTTTAGTTGGTCAGGTTTGGAGGTTGTTTTCCCCAACCATCTTGTGGTGTTGGGTCCCCGTTTTGAAGAGACAGCGCCCCGCGTTACTCCTCCTCCCGCTGCCCCACCCTCCTCCCGCGCAGTCCGCATGGCGGCGCCGCCCCATTTTGCCACACCCCTCACACGTTTCGTGGCCCCATAGGGAGCTCCACCGAAGGCCACAGCGGCAGGATTCGCATGCAGTTCCGCCCTCATTTCGGCGCACCGCTCACACGGTTCGTGGCCCCAAAGGAAGTTCCACCGAAGGCCCCGGTGGCAAGGTTCGCATGCAGTTCCACCGTCATGTCGGCGCACCCCTCACACGGCCCGTGGCCCCATAGGGAGCTCCACCGAATGCCTCAGTGGCAGGGTTCGCATGCAGTTCCAACCTTTTTTCGGCGCCCGAGGCCCTCGCACGGCTCGTGGCCCCATAGGGAGTTCCAACGAAGGCCCCAGTGGCAGGGTTCGCATGCAGTTCCGCCCTCAATTCGGCGCACCCCTCACACGGTTGTTGGCCTCATACGGAGCTCCACCGAAGGCCACAGCGGCAGGGTTCGCATGCAGTTCCACCCTCATTTTGGCGCACCCCTCACACGGTTATTGGCCTCATACGGAGCTGCAGCGAAAGCCCCAGTGGCAGGGTTCGCATGCAGTTCCACCCTCTTGTCCGCGCACCCCTCACACGGTTCGTGGCCCCGCAAGCAGTTCCACCGTCATCTCGGCGCACCCCTCACGCGACTCGTGGTCACATAGGGAGTTCCACCAGAGGCCTCAGTAGCAGGGTTCGCATCATTTCGGCGCACCCATCACACGGTTCGTGGCCCCATAGGGAGCTCCACCGAATGTTTCGGTGGCAGGGTTCGCATGCAGTTCCACCCTCATTCCGGCGCACCCCTCACACGGTTCGTGGCAGCTCCATCGAAGGCCCCAGCAACAGGGTTCGCATGCAGTTCATTTTCATTTGTGCGCACCCTTCACACGGTTCGTGGTCCCATAGGGAGTTCCATGGAAGGCTCCAGCGGCAGGGTTCGCATGCAGTTCCGCCCCCATTTCGGTGCCCCTCTCACACGGTTCGTGGTTCCATAGGGAGCTTCACCTAAGGTCCCAGCGGCAGGGTTCGCATGCAGTTCCACCGTCATCTCTGTGCACCCCTCACACGGTTCGTGGCCCGATAGGGAGTTTCACCGAAGGTTTCAGCGGCAGGGTTCGTATGCAGTTCCACCCTCATTTCGGCGCACACTTGCTCGTGGCCCCATAGGGAGTTCCACCGAAGGCACCAGTGGCATGGTTCGCATGCAGTTCCACTGTCAGTTCGGCGCGCCCCATAGGGAGTTCTGCCGAAGGCTCCAGTGGGAGGGTTCGCATGGCACCACCGCACCCGAATCGGTACACCCCTTCACACGTTTCGTGGCCCCAGAGGATGCTCCACCGAAGGCTCCAGTGGGAGGGTTCGCATGGCACCACCGCGCCCAATTCGGCACGCCCCTCACACGGTTCGTGGCCCCATAAGGAGCTCCATTGAAAGCGGTGCCCACACTGCGGTATTTGAAGCCGCATATGGTTGGGTCTTTCGTCAGGATAATTGCTTGCATTCCGACCAGTCGTTGATCCAATATTGGTCCTGTTATCATCGGCATTAGTATTACTGGTGCACCACGACTGCCAAGACTAATACGGATGCCACTACTAGTGTTATTCCTTCTATGTTAGCCAGCGTGGACACTAAACAGGGTGTTCTAGCGTACTAGGTGATGCAGTATATGTGGTGCAAGTTATGCGGTGGAAGCTATGTGGTGCAATTTATTTTTACCCATGATTTGATACATCCCACGCTCTTGCAAACATCCCACCCACCCACCCGCAACTTGGTTTGCAAAACCTCTTAAAACCGACTACGACGACAACGACTACGACGACACCGACGACGTCTCCGACGACTTCGACGACGACAACGACGCCGACGACGACGAAGACGACGACGACGACGCCAACGAGGACGACGACGAGGGAGGAGGAAGGACGACGACGGCGACAACGACGACAACGACGACAACGACGAGGGAGGAGGGAGGACGGCGACGGCGCGAACGACGAAGAAGGAGGAAGGACGGCGACGCCGACGACGACAACGACGAGGGAGGAGGGAAGACGACGACGACAACGACGACGACGACGACGGCGACGAAATAGGAGGAACGACGACGAGACGCCGACGACGGACGACGACGACGACGAGGGAGGAGGAGGAAGGACGACCACGGCGACAACGATGACGGAAACGACCACGACGCCAAAGAGGACGACGACGACGAACACGAGGAAAGACAGAGGACGACGTAGGCGACGACGACGACGACGCGGGAGGAGGGAGGACGGCGACGACGACGACGACGACGACGACGACGCAAGAGCGCGCGCGTACGCTTTTGGTGAAAATCCGTGTTGTGAAACCTTGTGTTTTTGTAGGTCCTTTGGGCACACGATTTTGAAATCCTTCCGAAACCGATGGGTTTTGAAGGTTTTCGGCATACGCGCGCGACGACGCGCGCGTCTGCGCTTCGTCTTTTTTTGTTGCGGAGGATTCTCGCGACGTTACACGCGCAAGCGCGTTCGACAGATTTCGACATGCGCGCGCGAAGCCTGTTTGAGTGCTATGTGTGAAAATCTTGAAAACCTATGGTTTTCTTAAGACTTCGCAAGAGCTCGCGCGGAAGCTTTTTTAGCAAATCAGTGTTGCGAAACCTTGTGTGTTTGTCTGTTGTTTGGGAAACTCGATTGCGAAATCCTTGCTGCACCGAAGGTTTTAAAGGATTTCGGCACGCGCGCGCGACGACGCGCGCGTGTGCACTTGGTCCTTTTTTGCAAGGGATTCATGAAAAAGTGCGATGTTAGAACAAACAATGTCATCGTATAGTGTTTTTTACAAGGGAACCTCAGGGGGGAATACCGGTTGGACTGGGACATTGCGACTTCATATTTAGGATGGACATGTGGTCAGAATCATATGTGATCTACATACCCGAAAGGGGGAGTGATAACTCTGGGGGGGGGGGGAAGTCTATTCTGTTTTTAGTGATTTTTGTTTATGATTTGACGCATCCCACGCTCTTGCAAACATCCCACCCACCCACCCGCAACTTGGTTTGCAAAACCTCTTAAAACCGACTACAACGACACCGACGACAACAACCACGACGACACCGACGACGTCACCGACGACTTCGACGACGACAACGACGCCGACGACGACGACGAAGACGACGACGACGACGCCGACGACCACGACGATGACAACGACGACGACGACGCCGACGACGACGACGCCGACGACAACAACCACGACGACACCGACGACGTCACCGACGACTTCGACGACGACAACGACGCCGACGACGACGACGAAGACGACGACGACGACGACGTCAACGAAGACGACGACGAGGGAGGAGGAAGGACGACGACGGCGACAACGACGACAACGACGAGGGAGGAGGGAGGACGGCGACGACGCGAACCACGAAGAAGGAGGAAAGGACGGCGACGCCGACGACGACAACGACGAGGGAGGAGGGAAGACGACGACGACAACGACGACGACGACGACGGCGACGAAATAGGAGGGACGACGACGAGACGCCGACAACGGACGACGACGACGACGAGGGAGGAGGAGGAGGGACGACCACGGCGACAACGACGACGGAAACGACCACGACGCCAAAGAGGACGACGACGACGAACACGAGGAAAGACAGAGGACGACGCTCGCGACGACGACGACGACGCGGGAGGAGGGAGGACGACGACGACGACGACGATGACGCAAGAGCGCGCGCGCACGCTTTTGGTGAGAATCCGTGTTGTGAAACCTTGTGTTTTTGTAGGTCCTTTGGACAC